TCATGTCGTCACCATTTCATGGTTAATTATGTTGAGGGAAATAAATTTATGTGAATGGAGATTTTAAAGTTGTAAAGGAAATAAAAATTAATTATGGAGATGGAAATAATTTTAATGAGCGTCGAGATTTTTTTTTTCACTGCATTTTTGAATGGAAGTATGTTCATTGAAGCCAATTAGCGGCGTCCGCAAACTTTATGAGCTTTTAATGAATCATTTTTGCAATATTATATGTGTCGAGGCGTTTCAAGGGTTTATTAATTATCAAACAGAATTTTTAATGAGTAAAAATGAGAACTGATGGATAGATACCCGAGGTGAAAGTATCAAAATTCATATGGCTGACTGTGAGGTTTACCCAAATATTGAACCAAACCAAAATCAGTTTATTCAACGATGATTGAACAGTTTTTTCAACTTTTTGAATTTTCCCGCATTTTTTCTACAAAATATTTGAAAAAACTTAAAATGTTGCAATTTTAAATTAAGTTGATTTTTGGATTCTTTATTGGAAATAAGTGAACTTAAGTGATATCAAAAGATTTGCTCATTCTTGAAAAGTATTTTACAATCATTTATAAATTCCATTAATACGTATTTGAGCAAATATTGATCCACAAACTTTTGATATGACAGTTCAATTATCATGCAAAAAAACAGCTCCAATCTCAATAAAGAAGCAATTCATTTATTTTTTCCTGTAAATTTATCGATAGCTACAAAAACAAATAAAAACCCATTTCTGTAGATTTTCTAAAATCATTCAACAAAACTTTCAGATATTTCAATTTCAGCTCCAAATTTCAATGTGGTCAATGGTCACTAAAACTTCTGGACTGCTTCTGTGGTTATCCTAAAATGTCCACGTTCCATACAAAACCACACAAATTATTTAATATTGTTCAATTCTTTCAATATTTCGGCACATTGATCTGCTTCCCCTTAGATAAATAAATTCTTCTCATATCTAAATTTCAACATAACAATGGGGAAATAGCAATATAGTTACATAAAAATTATTGGCAGTAAAATTTTATGAAAGGAATTCTTCTTCATGGCATGAAAAGTATAAGAAGAAGAATCGGAAGTTGTAATGAAAATTTCATTTCCATGTTAGCTCATAACTACATGTGAATAATTGTGAATGAACATTAGTCACATTTTGATGATGATTTTTCGAGATAATTTTACGATTATTTTTATTGTCATGTGCGTTTGATGCGTATGGGGGTGTGAAAAAGGTTTTTTGAGGTTAGAATTACCACTAGATATGGTTACAAGATCAATTTTATATTACTAGGTAGCAAAATGTCTATTTTCATATTCAGAAAGAGTAAGCATGCTCACAGAGAGCCACATTTCTAAATATATTTTTCTACAGAATTTAATTCCATAAGTTTCAAATACTCAATTCATTTTGCAACTCACTAAGCAACAACTCTTAAAAAAATTACCTTTTTCTTATCAAAACAACCTCAAAACATTTTCAAAAAGTTCATGAAAGGTTAAAATATCTCCAAAAAAATGTTGCTGATAAAGACCCAGACTTGTCAGATTTGTCTATTTTTACCACTTTCATTGTGAAAAAATAATAGAAATTGATAAAGCAAAACTTTGTGAATTCCGAATGGACGAAAAAAAAAATAGTAATGAAAACTTTATATTTAATGCAAATAATAAAAATTCCAATAAAGATTCTTAATAAATGATAAAGCTTGAGTTTTTATCGCCATGAAGCTCATTCACATGTGGGTTCTTGTGTGTGGGTTAAAGCTAAACAATAAATTGTTCTGTATTTTTGGAATTAATTTTTTTATTTGAACTTTATTTTACTTGAGGGATGTGCCTTGTGAAAATTGCCTTTTTTATTGGACAGAACTCTTTTGATTTGTATAAAATGATTATTTACAGAACATTTATTTAGCTGATTTGCAGACTTCTGATTGATTTTGGTAACTTTAGACTTTAAAACTTAAAATACTATTCTTATTGTCAATTCTATAAAGAAGCCATAACGTTTACAGTCGCATTAATAGAATTAAATGTCACTATACCAAATAGAACTCCATTCAAACCTCAAACGTATAACTTTATAATCCATTTCGATTGAAAAGCAAAAAACGAACACAAATGATTAAAATAACTGTTCCAATAAAGACAAAAAGGATAAAGTTTTTCGATGTAGACATGTGCACAGTTGTACATAAAGGCTGAAACTTGTTACACTGCAATTTTTCTGAACAAAAAAAGTATCTTTCTATCTCCTCATACGTGTAATGTAGGTTGCATCAGAACACATGAGCACATTTCACTATGTATGACATGGCACTGAGCTTTACATAAATTCGATTATTTTACATAAAAATATTTACAATATGCAGCATGAATATATTCCATATGACATTTAGATAGATACCATTTACAGCCAATGCAGTTTTGTAATGATAATGTTTGAAAATTCATGGGAAAATCGATGAAGATTTTTATTCTATTATTTTTCCACATTCTTCCTTCATGCTTCACTACTATAGAAAATTAAACTTCATTCTTATTGAAGATCTGCTATATGCGATTGTGACGCAGTCAATATTCATACGGAAATTTAATGCAATTTTTGATGTCATAAGTAGGAAGAGATGTAAATTTATCTTATTTTTCATTCCATTTTATCATACATAATGTTTCAATGTACTTTTGATGGTACTTTTATTCTATAAATTTACCAGTTTCTGTCTCATTCATCTGTCAAGTGGATAGATGTGCTCACAAATATAAAACTGTTTTTGAAGATTCAAAGACTGATAATCGAACGCATGACTGTAAGCCCAACACATTACGTAATAAGTGAACGAGCCAAACCATTAAATTTTTAATTCGTAGTAAATTTTACTACAAAATTTGAATATATAATGACCGTTAAATTTTCCAACATACAAAAAGAGACTTATTTCACTTTGAAATGTTAAACTCTAATGAAAATAGGATTTTAAAATTCATAAAGCTAAATTCACTTTTCTTCTATACAACGATGTAAATTAAATATGCACATAGCACATAAAATGCATTTATAATGACTATGTTGGTGGTACGACAGCATAAGCAAGTTAGTCGTGGACGAGGGAAAAAAACAAGAAATGAAAATGCAACACAAATTTTTCTATCTCTGTATGTATCCAGTTTTTTTCTGTTAATAATATGAAATTTTATTACTATTGCAATATTTTTCCCTTCCTTTTTCCGTTCCACTATGGAAACTGCTGCTGTTGCTACTGCCTTTTTACTGCTGTTTGTTACGACTCGTGGCCTAGAAATGAGAGGAAAATTTATGTTTTCAATTTTCTCTGCAGCTTTCATTTCCATTTTTTCAACTCTCATTCTCGTGTACTTGCCGCCTGCCTTGTTGCTTTTCGAACAGGAAAAAAAAATTTTGTGCAATTCGCAGAATACATAAAATGTGCAAAATTCAATTGAGAATCATGAGATGATTTTGCAGTTTACAAGGAAAATTGAAAAGAAATTTAGGATTGGCAAAATTGGGATTTGATTGATTTATTTTTGGAGGAAGTGATGCTCAAATATTACAGGGTACTTTTTGATTTCGAGATTATTTTGATATATGCTTTTTGATGCTTAAAATAAGCCATAAAAGTAATTAATCAATAAGCTTAGAACCTCTGAGTTTATAGATAGGGAACTTACAGCTAACATCCAATCCTTATAAATTCACTCAATAGAAAATAATTTTTCTAATCTCCACCAAAACTCCATACAATAACATCCATAGACAAATGAACAGATGGACGCACAGATTGTCAAAATGCTATTATTACTTACTTTTTTTATTCCATCGCTGATTCCATCCAAAAATATGCTCAAAACGAAGAAGAACTTTAATAAATTTTCCATCACTCCCACTGACAGTTTGACTACAAAGAAGATAGAAAAATCATGAGTCGAACAGCACAAAAAATGAGAATAATAATCATTTTTGTCATGTGCCATTCATCGAATGTTAAACTTTCATGACAGAAAGGGCACTTATTATCAGATAGAACTTTGAACTTTGATACGTTTTGTGTGTATCCATTCACTTGAAACCCCGAAGGCTCTAATTAATATCCAATCGATTTTCTATGTTATTTTTTTGTTTTTGTCGAACTCCCGCTCCATTGCAATGTCAGCAGCATCATCGACACATATACAATGACAGTCTATCGTAGATGGAAGTAGAAAAGGCTTATGGTATCGAATGAAAAGGAGGGGTTGAGTTGGTGGAGAATGAAACATTTGTATTCAGTGGTCGAAAGAAAACTATTAAAAACTCATTTTTACTCATTTCCTTTCCGTACGAGCAAGCTATCGTTTGCTTGCTTGCTTTCTTGCTTGTTCGTGCATTGCTTTAAGGCAGTACTATTGATTGGTGATCGATTATGATGCTTTATGTTAACATTCATGAGAAACATGATAAGCTTGGAGTGTTGCTAGTTGGAGGAATGAAAAACTGAGTATATTCAGGGCCAGATGTAGGATGTAACAACTTAGCTTACAAATTCTAATCCTAACCATTTGACAACGAAAAATTCGACAATAGCAAAAATATTGAAAGAACTTTCTTACCAACTAACAATGACGATGATCATGGTTTCAATGGTGTTGGCAGGCTGAATATGGCACATATATTGAATACATAGAAGAAGGAATGAAAAAAAAAACTTATTCAATATATCTGACTTGAAAATTTATTAATTTTGCGCATAAATTATGATTGCAATTAGTGATTATGGCTGTTTGCTTTGTTCCATAACCTATTAACACAGCACCGAACCTAAAAGAAGAAGAAACTTATTTATTTTCTTTCCTTTATTTTTTTTTCACTTTTTTTCTCTCCCGTATGCTCTTCATGAATTATTTATGATGACAACCGTGATACTATTGCTGCTGCTGCTACAAATTTTGCCCAATCCACATAATATATCCTCAACATACATACATCCACGCAGAGATTTAGAGAAAATGATTATGAAATTGTACGCAAGGACGGTCTCGTTTTTCTACGTGAAATGGCAGCTGAAGTGAAGAACTTTATGGATTTTAAAATGAGCGCTGTTATGGTGAGTAATTTATTTAAATTTGTTGATAATTTTTCATTAATCCCTTGCGATAGCATCAACATCTAAAACATATTTTAAATTTAAGAATATTCGCATATCTTTATTGTTATAATAATTTTATTATTCCCTTCGATTCGCTTTCCTCATTTCTCCTTAGAGAGGCATTTGATGTTGAAAATTAAATTTATGAGATGATGAAAAAATAATTTTATCCACTTCTTCTACTTACGACTTGATTGATGACTTTATTGAAGATTTTTTTTTGTGCGTTCTGTGCGAAATTGATGAATCTTTTTAGTTTTTGTGAGAATATTCCCCGAACATACAATGAGTATACTCAGAGCACATTATTTGTGAGCTTGCAAACTTTTGTGAGAATGTGCTCATTTCATACATTAAAGTGATGCGATCACGGTACCTTTTTGAGTATGCTCAGTGAGCACATTCCTTTGTGACATGCATTAAGCTCAATGAGTAAACTCATGAGCATACTCAAATGAGAAGGCAACATGCCACACGCAACATTTTTTTAATGCAACATTTTTTATTGAATATACTTATGAACATTCTCAAAGAGCATATACTCATAAACATACTCAAAGAGCTTATACTCATAAACGTACTCAAAGAATATATACTCAGTGAGTATATTTATGAGTATATGCTCATCTGAGCACACTCATGAGTGCACTCAGTTAAAGTCGCAAAATTCAAAAAAATTAATTAAGTTAAATTTGAGTTTTATAAGGATAATTCTGTGAATAATTTTGGAAGAGTTAGAAATTATTATTAACATTTTATCTCAAATACTTAAGAAGGAAGTTTTAAAAACCGGTCACCCATCCTTGTTGAAAAACCTATTGCGTTGCTTAACTTCTGTCACCTCACACTTTTCATTGGAGCAATTTTCTGTAAATATATAATAATTTTTATATGGCACAACGCATACTTAAATTATTATATTATTACAGGCAAACTAAGTTCTTTGAAGTTTGAAACGCTGCTTAATTGAACTATATTTTTATGAAATATTTGAGTTTATCAAAGCACGATCGTGAGAACATATTATGAAAAATGTCGACCAACTTAAAATTAAACTTAGAATACATTTTTAAGTAAGTCGACATTTTCAAAAATGTCGACCAACTTAAAATCAAACTTAGAATACATTTCTATGATAGTCGACATTCTTTAAAAATCGATCAACTTAAAATTAAACTTAGAATACGTTTTTATGATAGTCGACATTTTCAAAAATGTCGACCAGCTTAAAATCGAACATCGAATACATTTTTATATTAGTCGACATTTCTAAAAAATGTCGACCAACTTAAAATTAAACTATGAATACATTTTTATGTAAGTCGACATTTTCAAAAATGTCGACCAGCTTAAAATCGAACATCGAATACATTTTTATATAGTCGACATTTCTAAAAAATGTCAACAAACTTAAAATCAAACTTAGAATACATTTTTATGTAAGTCGACATTTTCAAAAACGTCGACCAACTTAAAATCGAACAAAGAATACATTTTTATGCAAGTCGACATTTTTCAAAAAATGACCAACTTAAAATTAAACTTAGAATACGTTTTTATGCAGGTCGACATTTTTTGAAAATATTTTATGAATTTAAATATTCGTTCCATGAAAGCCAAAAGATTTTGATCGTGCTTAATTCTTATAGTTTTTTAAAAGCGAAGTAATTTTTAATTTAATTCCTTGAGAAACTCTTGACATTTATTTCAGAAAACTTAAAATTGTAAAAAGTTTCGTACATTTTTGTATTACATATCTAAAATATTCAACATTTGCTTTTAAGTTGGTTGACAATTTTTTAAAAATAACATTTTAAAAAATGTCAACTATCATTAAAATATATTCTAAGTTTGATTTTAAGTTTGTTGACATTTTTTAGAAATGTCGACTAATATAAAAATGTATTCGATGTTCGATTTTAAGCTGGTCGACATTTTTGAAAATGTCGACTTACATAAAAATGTATTCTAAGTTTGATTTTATGTTGGTTGACATTTTTTTAAAATGTCGACTAATATAAAAATGTATTCTAAGTTCGATTTTAAGTTGGTCATTTTTTGAAAAATGTCGACTTGCATAAAAATGTATTCTTTGTTCGATTTTAAGTTGGTCGACGTTTTTGAAAATGTCGACTTACATAAAAATGTATTCTAAGTTTGATTTTAAGTTTGTTGACATTTTTTAGAAATGTCGACTAATATAAAAATGTATTCGATGTTCGATTTTAAGCTGGTCGACATTTTTGAAAATGTCGACTTACATAAAAATGTATTCTAAGTTCGATTTTAAGTTGGTCGACATTTTTAAAATTCACATAAGTATGTTATTAATATTCTCATGAGTATGTTCAGTAAGTGCACTCATATGAGAACGTAAAAAAATTATGTCACATAGAAGTGAGTATGTTCTTAATATTCTCATGAGAATGTTCAGTAAGTGCACTCATACGAGTATATTCACATAAGTATGTTATTAATATTCTCATGAGTATGTTCAGTAAGTGCACTCATATGAGAACGTAAAAAAATTATGTCACACAGAAGTGAGTATGTTCTTAATATTCTCATGAGAATGTTCAGTAAGTGCACTCATACGAGTATATTCACATAAGTATGTTATTAATATTCTCATGAGTATGTTCAGTAAGTGCACTCATATGAGAACGTAAAAAAATTATGTCACACAGAAGTGAGTATGTTCTTAATATTCTCATGAGAATGTTCAGTAAGTGCACTCATACGAGTATATTCACATAAGTATGTTCTTAATATTCTCATGAGAATGTTCAGTAAGTGCACTCATACGAGTGTATTCACATAAGTATGTTCTTAATATTCTCATGAGTATGTTCAGTAAGTGCACTCATATGAGAACGTAAAAAAATTATGTCACACAGAAGTGAGTATGTTCTTAATATTCTCATGAGAATGTTCAGTAAGTGCACTCATACGAGTGTATTCACATAAGTATGATCTTAATATTCTCATGAATACACTCGTTGAATGGACTCACGTGAGCTTATAAATTTTTTGCAAAAAAATAAAGTGAGTACATTCGTAATGAACTCCTGAGCATGCTCAGTTGAATGAGCTTGCATGAGTATAATTTTTGAGTAGACTCACTTATATGCTCACTTTTCTGAGCATGCTCTTTGTATGTTCGGGTTCGGGGATGATGCTGAGTTTTGAGTTTTGTAAACTTTTTTCCATTTGGGGTTTCTACACTGATTTTTAAAGATGAAGGTTCCTTTAGGCTGAATGCTTTCAATCCGAACGTACACAAAGTAAGGCTCTTAAATTTTGTAATGCTTGAAAAACCAGTAAATTCTGTTTTTAAATGCAAAAATTCTGACAAACTTTAGATTTCCAGCACAAACAAAGTCCTAAGAAAAATTTTCAATGTCAAGATCACATCCAGCAGGTCACAAAAATTATTCTTTCCACACAAATCCTGTATTTATCTTAAATAATTCAATTTCCTTTATCTCCATCTACTGCCTTTTCAATTTAATAACTAAATTAAATCAACTCTTATTCAATAAAAGAAGCATCCGAAAGAGACGAGCAGGCATGGAATGAAAGGAGACAAATTTCATTTTACGAGCACTTGCTTGTAATAAAGTCCCAATTTATTGTTGACATTGTGCATACATAAAAATAAGGCAATAAGGTCAGGAAGATGTGGTGTGTAGGCATGACGAGAGAAAATCAGGAATAACGATATTTATAAAAGCTTAATGCTTTGGTTCTTTAATAGCGCCATTAGAACATAAAAGCTCTTTTCATTATATTGATGGCAAAAAAAAGTTAATAAAAAGTCATGAAATCCTTATGAACATAACTGATACTCTTTGCGACTGTGTGCATGTATGTGAATCACACAACCTTACTCATGAGAACAAAGTTGAGGATGGAACGTAAAGGTGATTACAGCTGAGATAGAATGAGAATAAAAATTATTTGTTTCATTGTATGTTGAAGAATTTTTATTAAATTATTTAAACTCTAGTGTATTTCCTGCATCCTTAGCTGTGTATATTATGCGGCTTTATAGGTGTGATTATACAGGAATATTTTATGAGAATTTTTATGTTTTTCAGGTACAGAGTTTGAAATTATATTAGTCAGAAAAAAATCATATGCATATGGGAGATTTTCAAGATAATTTGATCATTTATTCTGGTTGATGAAGCAAGATTTGACTTCAACTCCTTCCTCCATCTTCTGATTAAATCAGTTGATTTAGATTTTATTTATGAACGACCTGCAAAACAATTCAATTAAAAAATTCCAAAAAATTGTGGAATTCTTTTTATTTTCTGATTGAATCCACATAAACCATTGACATATGATCTTCCTCCTCCTCATTGACTTACAATTTTTCATCTCAAGAACTTTACATTCTCAAAAAAAGAAAATTTAAAAAACTTGAAATTCTTTTTCTAGAAACATTGCACCATCTGCGAGCTATGTCTTCTGTCTAAGCATTTTATTGATCCGTAAAAGTACGATTTTTGAACTTTACAATACAAAACGAAGCTACCAGAAAAGTAAATGCAATTTAAAGTTCTTTCCACTTTTATTTTAAAATAAAAAATACAAAACTTTTTTGCTACATAAAAAATTTTCTTTTTTGCCCATATGTTGGGTATCAGTTGGAGTACACACAAAGAATTATGAAACTTTACACAGCAAAGAAGAAGAAAAAGTTGCGGCAAATGCCCCAAAAAATTGTATGTATGTGAATGAAATATATAAAATAAAAGAAGGAAAATGTGCAAATTTAATGATGTGAAATAATTTCAACAATGGCAGGCAAAAGTGGAGAAAAGATAAATTCATTTTTTTTTCTTCTTCTCACTGCTGTACTTCAAGGCATAAATATACATACACCAAAAATATATTTCATTTTCGCTTGTGCTTGTATATATTCCCTCTGATTTCTTGTAATATATTTATGCTCAAGTCACTGAACACATAATGTGACGCAGTTAGTGAATTGAACGTACAAGCTAAGTATAATAATAATAACAATGATAAAGAAGTGCTCGAGGAGGAAAAAAAAAAGATTTTGGAGAAGAAGGAACGAATGGACAAATTTATGTGCTTGACAAGAAGGTAGAAAAAATGTTTGTAGTTTTGTGAATCTCTGTTAGTCATCCGTGCTGTGTCATTAGACTGCTTGCTGTAATTTTTCCTTAAAAGATAAAAAAGGTCGGGAATCTAAAGGTTGTTGCTTGAAAATTAAAATTGTTTAGTATCATAAATAAATTATGTCTTAAGAACTTGTTGTTAAGGATCACTAGGAATTTTCAGAATAAAAAATATGCAGCTTTAAGTGATATCGATAAAGATCTGAATGAATAACGTGATATTAAACAATATTAACATAAAGTGATCATTAAGCTAACTAGTCACGTGTAAATAAAAGCTTTTTCTTCTTTTACTACGTGGTCATTATCGTGTCTGTGACTCCTTTCAATAATCCTTTCTCATTTTGTGGTTGTTGATCCTATGTGCTATTGACCATCGATAAGTTGATTTATTGGCTATGTTTTAGAATTCAGCTTTTCATTCACTTCTGACATTTATGCCAGGGGTTGACACGATTTCATCTTTTCATCTTTTTTCATCTTTCTTCATCAATTCATACAAAAATTTCATCTTAACAATAGAATAAAGAAATTTTTCATCAAGATGAAATCGTGTCAACCCCTGGCATTTATGCACTACACTTTACCCTCAAGCATTAAATCTGGACACAGTTTTGGTCCAAAAGATAGATTGTCGTTAATAGGTCCGGAATGTCACCTGGATCAAACAGACATACCCAGAAAGGATCACTGTTAACTCTAATAAAACTTAGTTTACAAGTTTACATCAAGTCATTGAATCTTCAAGAAACATCCATAACCCAACAACAGACACACATTTCCATTTTCAATCAACAACATCAGGTTCAAAAACACGATAAATTTTGAAATCGATAGACACAAAAATTGATTCTATGTCTATATATCTCATTCATTTGACTTTTCCTAACGACATTAATTTTATCGGACATACTTTCACATTGATTTTTATACCAATCTGCCCTTCAATGATTTTTACTCATAGCAATTTATATAGACACATAATTGATGTGATTTATTGACTAAATTCACAGATTATCGGACGGTCATTTATTTATGATGAGATAGCCTAAATACTTTAACGTTTTATATTTCAGAATAATTGATTGCAGTCGATACTCAGGCTTAATTATTAATTATCAAGTCCTGAACTTTTTTTTGCCTAGATCAGCCTTTTTTCCTCTTTTTGTTTTGGGGTCATTCATAAGTGAAATAATTAAAACACCCCGAGCTTATAAGCATAGCCGAAAGAAAGGTTCCCTAAATTGTCCACGACCCAATGACGTAAATTCTGATTTTTAATTCATTCGTGTGGGAGTTTTATTATGTCTTTTTTTAAAGCAGTTCCTTAAAGGATAATCGAAAAAAATCGATGAATTTTAGATCAGCCAATTTGAAAATCAATGAATGGAATATTTTTCAATGGAATTATTGCTTGTGCTTGTCAATTTATGGCAATCATTGAATGTCTTATTGTTCTTAGTGTGGGAAGTCTGAATAATACTCTTAGAACTGGCATTTAAGTGTCCCATTACTATACACTATCATCTGTATAGTCCAACAATTCCCATTCATCTATTCTCCATCTTCTGTCCTTTTGATTTGCTCCATAGACATCGTTATCTCAACTCATCAAGCAAATTAAATTTAGCACTTTCTCGTTATATAGACATGCATAGACACACACTTCTCTTTTTCCTATCTCAAGAGGAGATTGTGAGACGACAAAGTTTTTTTTTATATATTTCACTCCTATTTGATTAAATGCAGCTGGATAGTGATAAAGTTCCTTCCCATTCACAATTCACTTGAGACTTTTTTTTCTTCTATCTCTCTAAATTAATTAATTTACATGCATGTCATTGGACATTTCTGGTTAATTCTTATCTCTCTTTTGCCATTTCTATATTTATTTTTATGCTACTTCTGAAAGTGTCAGAGAAAGTTTTACAAAAATTCTTATTTCATGCAAGAAAGTTTTTATAGCACAATGGATAACTCGAATGATAATCTCTCTATCAGATTTCATTAAAATTAATTCAGTGAATTGTGTGAAAGTTAAGATGGGTGGATTCTTTTTATTGTGTAAAAAAAGAATTTGTATGGTGAAGTGTTGATGAACTCTTTGGGAACTGTGCTTGCATTAATAATTGTTAAAACTTTGAAACTATAAATTAAAATTTAAAATTTTAACGGTTTTCAAAATTTTGAACTCGCGAAAAATTCAAATATTAATTTTTAACGGTATTATGGATCTTTTTCATGTTCTCGAACTTGTTAAAAATCAATCGATGGTGAAAAAAACTTTAAGCCTCAATGAAAGAAGCTTTCAAAAAGTTATGGATATCCATCAAACAAAAGCACTTTTCTTTCATCTTATCAAAAACAATATTTTTTATTTTTAATAAAAATGAAGTCAAAAATTTTATCCGTAATGAAAATCGTCACGGTTACAAATCCTCGCTGAATCCTCATCTTTATTACTTCAATCAAGAATGTTTTTCCAATTTTTCATTCCGTTCTTTTTGTTCTTAAAACTTAACAAATCAAAATTAGATTTCATTCTATGTGCCTTTTTTTCTCGTGATGAGATGGAATGTTCATGAAATTTATGTCAAAAATTAGCTTCCTGCTATTAGGCTATACAGCCATTCTATGAGAAAAGCCTTAATTTTGCTTTTATTTATTTTTTCTTTTATTAACGAACTTAAGGGTCAGCAAAGAGATCTGTTGGACACAATCTAGAGATAATAGGATGGAGAAATATGTTGATGAATTGAGAGCTGAAGCGAATGTTTTTATAAAGCTCAAGGCTAGAAAGCTTTGAATGTGAAAAAATCGGAGTGATATTTTAAA